TGCTTTGTTTCATGATATGAAGTGATTGAATGTCTTGGGGGGAGTTGAGCTGGGTGGGGTGGGGGTTTGGCTGCGGGAGTTTTGGTTGTGCCTTGTGAACGCTGAAAAGCGGCAAATAAAGTTTTCTGTTCATTCATTCATAATAATAAATTGTAAGAGAATATAAATTGAGCCGATATACTTTTAGCTTGGGTTCTAGAATTTATTTTATAGTCAAATGTGCGTCCTAATCGTTACAATGAGTTCGATGTTTCTTGGAATTGTTTCAAGCAAGTGTACGAATAAAATAAGTCGTAAATTCGCCAGTTACTGTATTTACTCAAGTAAAACGCGCACCTTTTTTTCTCAAATTAAAGAGGAAAAAGGGGGGTTTGCGTCATAAAAGGGGAATAAATGTTATAAAAAAATATTTTATAAGCTTAGGTGTGAATTGCACTGGATTCTAATGGGAAATTTTGAACCAAATTTCACAGGAAAACATACTTTATTGGAAACAATAGAAATTATTCGAATTTAGGTTCAATTCATGCCTAAATTCAAATTTGAATGTTCTCATCTTCGAGATATTGCAGTCACTAAATAAAAAGGACGTGTGCGTCTTGCCTGAAAATACAATTCTATCAGAAATTTTTACTAAAAAATCCGAGGTGTGCGTCTTATTCGAGAGCGTGTGGTATACTGTACTGTACTTGAGTGAGTACGAGACTTTTATTTTTATTTTTATTTTTGCTTGACGGGGCTAATGCAATTAATTCAAGTCATGATGGACAACACAGTACAGTACCTCATTTAGAAATACTGCTGTGTGTACTAATTACAAGTCAATAAATTCTTGTGCTGTACCTGGAATTCGGATGAGCAGCCGGGATGCCGGATTTCTTGTCGTAGACAGTGCCGCGCCAGGAGATGATGTCGACGTCGTCAGCAATGTCGGCCTCCATGCCTTCCCAGTAAACACCGCCGTCCGACGTTTTCGCCACGTTCGTGAAGATGGTGTTGCTCATGATGGCCTTCATGGCATTCGGGTTCGTGGACGCGGACGTGCCCGGAGCGACCCCGAAGAACCCATTCTCAGGGTTGATGGCACGGAGCCGACCCTCGGAATCAAACTTCATCCATGCGATGTCGTCGCCCACGCATTCGATCTTGTACCCGGGCAAGGTGGGTTCCATCATGGCCAGGTTCGTCTTGCCGCAAGCACTGGGAAACGCGGCTGCGATGTACCGCTTTTGCCCGTTGGGGTCTGTGATCCCCAAAATCTGTCCAGAAAATCGTTCCATTTATTTTAGAAGTACACTACTGCACTCTTGCATAAAAAGCAAACCCAAATTTTTCAGGAGGGGGGGGGCGGGAATCAATCCCCGCGTGTAATATGCAAAACCCGGGGTTTCTTTGCGCAAAAATCAGTATGCAACTATTTACAGTATTTCTGGAATTGATCGCTATTTTTGAAAGTGAGACTAGTAAAATTTGAATTAAACTGTGCAGCATTTATTTTTATTTCACATTTCCGTCTGCCGTGATGAGTTTGATTTAAGCCTGAATTTATACTTTTGATCACCGGCATTTTAGTCCCGAAAAATACTTGACTAAATGTGTTTGAAGAATGACGCGTGCCAAAGACTTTCAAAATTTCCGGGAAAAATTCCTACCTGAGTTTGAAGCTTGACACACTTTTTGGGGTAAATTTTTGAAATAAAAAAGTGTGGTCGGTAAATCAAATAAATCTTAATGAGGTCACAAGGAGAGAATAGAAATAGTACCCGAAAATCGCATCAAGTTCTTTGACGATGAATAAGATCAGCAGAGAAAACTTTGCTCATCATTCACAGCAGTTCTTTTTTTTAATTAAAAGTCTGCATATTTGAAAAAAACCGATGTTCGTATTCGTTTAAACAGTATATAACCTGAGTCTTACTTTTCTATAGGAAGATAATATACCCCGTGAACGTTTCGGAGGGATACTTTTTTTTGGCTGCTCTTCGAAGATTATTTATAGCTTCGGTTTTCGCTCTATTTTTTTTATAAACGTCTGAATATTAGAAGCAGATGTTAAATGTTTTTTTCTTATTTACCAGCATGTGCTCAGCGAGCCAGCCTTCTTTCTTGGCAATGGTGGATCCAATGCGGAGAGCGAAGCATTTCTTGCCCAACAGGGAATTGCCGCCATAGCCGCTGCCAAAGGAAATGATCTCAAACTTGTCCGGAATGTGGGTGACGATGGTTTGGGCCGGGTTGCAGGGCCAAGCTAGGTCAGCAGTGCCCGGGGTGATCGGGCAGCCCACGGAGTGCAGGCATTTGACAAATTCGGCATTCGGACCCTTGGACCGCAAATGGTTGAGTACTGCGGAACCCATGCGGGTCATGATCCTCATGGAACACACGACGTACGGCGAGTCCGTCAGCTCGATCCCGATCTTGGCCAGAGGGGATCCGACCGGGCCCATGCTGTACGGGATCACGTACATCGTCCTTCCTGCAAATTAGAAAATTAAATGTCATTACGGTACATTCAAAAAACTATTTTTTTTTCGGCGAGAAAGGAACGCATACTGGGATTTATCTTCGATCTTCGACAGTGAAGATTTTTCTGTATGAATACACTTCTCTATTTAAAGTAGGTCAAACCCCGTATTAAGACGCCACCATCAGCAACCACCAATTGATTTTGAAAACATATTTCCCTAAGCATTAGAAACCCCATTAAAATGCCATCCGCCAAAATTATTGACGCCTGAAATACACTCCTGCCAAATAATTTTGGCTTTGATAACCAGCTAGCAGGATTAAAGTTTCTGCGAGAGGTTTCCAATAAAATAAAATAAACATAGAACACACGGATATGACGTCATTTACTTTTTGGGAACACTTGCTACATATAATGTACGCATCACAGGCTTATTTTGATCGATTTTTATGAGAATATGAATTGCATATCCTCGTACATTTGGTTTTCATAATATTGCAGTTTTCTTTATAAACCACCAACCCCGTTAAAACACCACCACAACCCTCACAAGCAAAATAGTGGCAGCTTATTGAGGTTATTTGACGGTTATTTGACACATTTTTCATGTGTCAGCATGATCAATAAAATCGCAAAAATTACCCTAACCTAATCTGAAGATCGCCGTAACCAGCATACCGATTAAAAAAGATTAACTCAACAACTTGGCCAAAATGTTAAATGTTCAACTAAAACCTGACCAAATTCGGGCGACATCTATCCATCTCCAAAGGTAATGAAACAGTCAGGACAAAAGGCTCCATAAAAGATGAGAAAAGTCTATTTCTGGATTAACTCATGTATATTTTAAAGTACTGTATATTTCCTATGGATAAACGTAATTCTGAGAAATAAATGCTATCAATATAAAATTTAGAATAAGAAAGGTCGTGTACTCATGCCCCAATACATTTCCTCATTTGCATAACTCGGCGACCGTTGCCTCGCATTCGCTGAAAAAAATTATGTAAACCTCAAGATTGGATCTATTGAATGACTTGGTGCTTGGAATCGTATTCAGTGGGTTTTTTCTTCTTCTTTACTTGAGGACAGATCGTATAGCCAGATCGTATGGAAATTTCGAGAGAGAGTGCTTATCGCATATGGGCAACTTTGTCTTTGATGGATGCGATTATTTACATTATTCATGGCAACAATAAGGCATTGACTGAAACCACGCGCTTCTTTCGCCTCGCTGAACCACGTGTGTTTGGGAAGTGATTTTTTATCATTTTTTCTTATGTAACACAATTCTCATGAATGGAAAATTTCGAAACACATTGTTACTATAAAGGCAACGCTTTTGTTTCCTTGAGATATTTAGCACATGTCGGGCAAAGCAAAAATTTCAGGACAGTCACCTGAAAATAAGGCATTGCCTTGTTTTTTAGGTGTTTTGTGAGAAAAATGTGTCACCCGTTGATCGATTCTGATTTGCACGGTTGTTAATGACTTCGAGAAAATTAAATTTTAGGGATAGAAAACGCTCTCAGCTTTAAAAATTCGTCTTGACAAGATGTTGATTTTAAAGCATTTTGCTTCATTCTGTCAAGTATATAGTGAAATATTTCTCTTCCTCTTAATAATCCATTCTTTTTGAATGACTTCGTCTACTCTAATTTCACTTACAACGATTAATTTTTATTCCAGCAGTTGGATGGATTTGGGCTTTTCTGCGATAGTATTCTTTTTCAAACAATTTTAAATGGAAGAGCTGAATGCAAAATATCTCAGAAAATTAGAAAAAATTGGCGATCAAGTGCTATTTTCTGGTTCAATTTGCTTGAAAAGCCCGTTGATCCCGAATAATTTTGATATTTTGTTTTTAAGGAAAAGTGCACGAGCGATCAACGGGTGAAATCTCGTTTTTAAAAATCGGTTACTCCTTTTTATAAGATTAAATCGCGTTGCAAATTTTTTCAACGCATCCCTGCAGCGCTGTTAACTTGAAAAAAGTTCGTCACCGGACAAACATATTTTCTGCACAATTACTTTCGTTCCATTAAAGTTCTTTAAAACGGGTTTCTCCCCAATTTTTTTTTTCAGAAAAATTAAGGACATATACAAACCTTTCATACATCCGGGAAAGCGTTCGGCAACTGCCTTCTCCAGGTCTCGAGGCGAAATCCAGTTGCCCAGCAATCCCTTCACGCCTTCTTTTGGTGTTGGAATGGTGTCACGTTTGTTCGGCGTGCAAATAAAGGTCTTGCTTTCCACTCGAGCAACGTCGAGCGGGTCCGTCGTAGCCAGATAGCTGTAGGAAAAAAAAAATCGACCCAGTAACAGAGGAACTCGGGTCAGGTCAAAACACCTTTTGGCAAGCGTTCAAATTGGACGAAAAATGCGTGCGTTTCTTCGGATGAAGAAGACTTCAAGGGCGCTCACGAGCAAAAAGAACACGCGGTGTTTTGGCGCATTTGACTCATCTATACGTAAAATACAGGGTTCTTTCGAATTTACCAGCAGAGCAAAAGACGTTATTCCAAGATTAGGATTTACAACGAGGGCTTATTCTCAAGTAACACGAATGTTCCGAATATCATAGACGTCCATGCATTTTATATAAATTAATGCCTTCCAAAAATTTATTTTAGTGTTCTTCGTTCTATTGACATTGTGAGCAACGTTTTGAATTGCTCTCCTCTTCAAAAAGCAAAACGAAAACAAAACGTCGTCTTTATCATTTGATATATTTTTTGGAAAGAGCATCTTCTCCATTTATCTCAAAACATAAAATATGCATAAACGAAGGAAATTTCAGTTAAATTTACAACTTGACATTTCTCAAAATATTGTATCGGGATTATCTGGAAAAAATCATATGTTTGTCCTGCGAATCTAAGAAGTCCCTATATTTTTCGCTGTTTTCTGTGTGAGAAGAGTGACTGTTATGTCTTTTGATTGAATATATATACTCTACTGAACAAAATATTGGATTCAAAATATAGAAAATACTGTGATGTATAGCTGGAATGAATCATTCCTGCGAATCTAAGACGTCATCCCAATTTCAGCTGCTTTCTGGTTCGAAAAGAGTCACTAATTCATTAAATTCAAAGGGAATATCTTACAAACCAAAATACTGAATTCAAAATAACAGTATATTGGAATGCTGGCTGGAATGAATCGTACACGCAATAACCTATGAATCTAAGACGCCCCCTCAATTTTTAGCTATTTTTTGTCCTTTTTGTGTGGAAAGAGGGACTTCATCCTTGAATAAAAAATAAATACTGTACATCACTAATCAAAATATTGGATTAAAAATATTGGAACTACTGGAATGAATGATATATACGCAACCTGTGAATCTAAGACGAAACCTCAATTTGGCTGTTCTTGTTTTGCGTGGAAAGAGTGAATTTTTTAGTCAAATGAATATAATACTGACCAGTTTTCGTATTTCGGGAGTTTCTCAAGCATGCCACGCTCGACCATCAAGTCCACCAGACGTTGATTTTCATCTTCGGATCCATCGCAGAGATAGACACTGTCCGGCTTGCA